TGGCTCTGTGGTTGATCACTAGCCTGCAAATCAAAGGGTCCTTGGTTCGATTTCCAGTCTTGGGCACATGCCTGGGTTATGGGCCAGCAGGGGGCGCACAAGAGGCAATCACAGAATGATGTTCCTCTCCCTCTCTTTCTCCCTCCCTTCCCTTCTCTAAAGGGTAAATAAAATCTTGAAAAAGCAACAGCAGAAGTCACTTTTTTCTTCATTGCTCACTCTGGGTGATATAATGCCTTGCTCACTGTAAGAGCTTCGTCAGCGCTCATTGACTGGCTACAGCCAGAAATACCTGCTCCACCATATCCGATTCAGTCTTAGTCGGCACTGAGCTAAGAAAAACATCTGAGTATCCAGTTTTTTTTAAGTGTAAGAGAAAATCGGGAAGCACAACGAAAATTGAATCCAAAATCATTTTCTGGCAGAGAGGAGGCGCGCTGCCTGGCCACGGGGCAGCGCCACTGCAAGTCGGCCAGCTCAGCGAGGAAGTGCACCTAATGAGGGAAGAGAAGGTGACTTCTCACGAGGGATGACGTTCAGAGCTCCCGATCCTGGCGCCAGCAAAGGGCTGTCGGCGTGTGCCAACCGTCCCTCCGTCCCAGAGCCGTGCTCCATTGGCCCCAGAGGGCCTCTGAGGCCCCTTGTCTCTCTCTGCCGGTTACTGGGTCAGGGACAGTGCTTTCATCTCTGGCTGAGGAAAGTCAGAAATGGGGGAGGATGGCCACTGCCCTTAGGGACAGCTTTTGCTGGCAGGAAAGGGGACAGAGGTCCTCTTTTCCTTAGCTGCGGCTACAACAGGCTCCAAGGACATGTCACAGGACTGTGTAGTCACAATTTTAGGGACAATGTAGCCCCAAGTTCAGTGTAGGTGCCATAGAATAAGAGATTTAACAAATGCTAGTGTCCATAATGTCCCTGTTCATGACACATAATGGTTGTTAACCAGGTTTCCTAATTTTCTTTTTTGTTTATTTCTATGTATTCATTATGTATTGGTTTGAGGTGTGCAGCTTAGTGGTCAGACAATCAATCATGTACTTTACGTAGTGTTCGCCTCGATATTTTCAGCACCCCAACTGGCACTATAGACTTTCTAACTTTCTTAATGACATCCAAGAGCTCACTTATTTTTTCTGGTAGAATATCCCTCCCCTCCCCTCCCCTCCCCTCCCTCCCCTCCCCCTCCCCCTCCCCTCCCCTCCCCTCCCCTCCCCCTTCCCTCCCTCCCCCCTCCCTCCCCCCTCCCTTCCCTTCCCTTCCCTTCCCTTCTCTCTCTCTCTCCCCTTCTCTCTGATTATTGTAAAATATACCTAACCCTTACTCTGTATTCAAGATGCTTATTATAAGCAATGCAACTTTAATTTTTTTAATGTATTCTTATTTTTCTCATTAAAAATGGAGATGGAAAAAGTTTTATGTCTGTACACCTGGAAACCTTAAGAAAATTAACCCCAAAGCCTTTATAAACAAGAAAAAAATTCAATAAGTTAGCTATATGCAAAATTAATGCAAAAAAAATTAGGTAGCTTCCCAATATAAAAACAATTAAATAATAGACATATGGAAAAAGATATAGCAAAAATTAAATCATTACCTTCTTAGGAATACATTTAACAACCAACATGTAAGATCTACATTGAACAATTTTAACCTTGTATTATAATTTTTCATTTAAACTGAACAATATAAAACACTTAAACAGAATAGTATTTGTTGTGGCTCAGAAACCTAAGTATTAACAATGATGAATCTCCCCCCATGCCCAACTAAGTGATGACTGACTGAAAATAAAGTTTTTAAAAGCAAACTTCGAATATTCATAGGAGAACATAAAGATCTTTATGTTTCACGAAAAAATTTAAAAAGAAAAGACTAGCCCTTCCAGATTTTTTTTAGCTTTACGGAGGTGTAATTGACATAGGAAGTGTTACATGCATTTACTATTTAGATCTCGATAAGTGTGGACACACGGACATGCCTGTGACACCATCACCACCACCAAGACACTGCCCCTATTCATCACCTCCGAAGTGTCCTTGTGCTCTTTTGTGGGTGTCTGCCTTTCTGAGAGTTTTTTTAATATGAACACGAAGGTCTATGTTCTTAACATACTTTGAAGTACAAAATACTGTTTTGTTACCTATAGGTATTACGTCGTATGGTAGGTCGCTGGCACTTACTCATCCTGTACAACAGAAACTCTATACCCATTAAAAAGTAATTTTCCATGTTCCTCTCCCTCAGATCCCTATAACCACAATTCCACTTTCCGTCTCTGTGAACATGATGATTCTGGAAGCCTCATATATAAGTGGAAACATATGGTATTTGTCCTTCTGTGACTGGCTGATTTCACTTAGCATAATGGCCCCCAGGTCTATCCAAGTTGTTGCAAATGACAGGACTTGCTTCTTTTCTAAGGCTAATGTTCTGTTGTAAGTCCACACCATGTTTGCTTTACCCATTCCTCTGCTGATGCACCTTTGGGTGGTCTCCCCATCGAGGCTGTCGTGAATGCTGCTGCAACTGACACAGGGAGGCAGATCGCCCTTTGAGACCCTGATTTAATTTTTTTTTGGATATGCACACAGGAGTGCAATTGCTGGGTCACATGGTTGCCCTGCCTTTCATTGGCTGAGGAAGGTCCACACTGTTTTTCCTCGTGGCTGCACTCTTCTGCCTTCCCACCAGCAGCGCACAAGGGTTCCAGTTTTTTCACATCTGGCAAACACAGGCCCCGCCCACAATGGCATATGCACCCTGGTAATAATAACTGTGCCTTGCTTTTCATAGCGCTTTGCACGGATGACCATTTGATCTGGACTGTTTTTCCCAGGTCTAAATATAAGCAGTTATATGTAAAGAACTGTTTTAGCTAAAACGGTTTAGCTAAAAGCTGTCCTTTTGTGTTTTCATAGACTAGAATTGGTCTTGCTAGTTGACCCACCCTTCCTTCCTTCCTTCCTTCCTTCCTTCCTTCCCTCCTCCTCTTTCCTTCCCTCCTTCTCTTCCTCCTTCTCTCCCTTTGTGGATTTGTCTGCTTTTGTGTGCTAAGCATGATTTTACTAAGAACACTCCAGACACTCAAAGAGGAAGCACAATTCCATGGCTGTGTTTGGACCAGCTTGGTCTTTTTTTTACCAATCACCTCATTTGAATTAAAACAACAGGGTGTTTGCTTTGGTTTGGTTTTTAGTTTGGAAACTGTTTTCCACGTAGTCACCTGTGTAGGGGCCCTGGAGAAAAATGGGAGACAGGTGAGCCCCACCTCCTGGCCTTTCACAGCAAAAAAGGGGAACAGGAGACAAAGCCACTGTTGCTATTTCTTTTTACCCACTTCTTTTTTACTGATGTCTGATGCAGATCTGGAGTAGAAGCTGGACCACCGTTATTTTTATTTTAAAATTAAAACTATCTCCTAAGTCAAGAAAATTTTAACTGCTTTATTTCTGTTCTTTCTTTAATTTTTCCACTAAAAACACAACTTTGAATCTTTATTATATAACTTATCTTTAAAAATACCCTTTTCAGCCCTGACTGGTGTGGCTCAGTGGATTGAGCACTGGCCTGCAAACCGAAATGTCGGTGGTTCGATTCCCAGCTAGGGCATATGCCTGGGTTTCAGGCCAGGTCCCTAGTTGGGCCTATGTATCTATCTCTTGCATATCAACGTTGCTTACCCTTTCTTTCTCTGTCCCTTCCCATCCCTCTAGAACTAAATAAATAAAATCTTTAAAAATAGCCTTTTCAGTTTGTCCAGGTAATTTCCAGTCATGGAATTTAAATGCAAATTACTTATTTTCATTAAGACTTGGAGAGAGAAAAGAAAACCAGTTTTAGAGAGAACTTCAGGTTTTTCCTAAGTAAGTGCTTCCCTCTAGTGGACCAAAAGTGACAATACACCTTTTGGGCAACTGGCTGACCTATGAAGAATATATTTTGGGAAAGCAATAAAGAAGAGATATTGCCAACACAGAGGGAAACAAAGAAAAACATAATTAATTTTGCCAAATATCATAAGTGCATCTGGATTAAATCAAATAATAATATAAGTAGAATTGACTACTTAATGCATTTAAAACTTAGAAATGTATAAAACATCATAAACGAAATTAAAAGTAAGTAAACTAGAGAAAACACTTGTACCAAATAGCATTAAAACAGAGCAAAGTGTACAAGAGATTTGGAAATCTATAGGAAAAAAAACAGGAAAAATATAGAAAAACGGGTAAAGGCCATGATTAGGCGATATACACAAGAGAAAACCTAAAAAGCAACACTCGAAGTCATTATCAATCAGGGAAAGGCAAAACAAAACAGTAATTACGTATCACTCTTATGCGTTAGAGGGCCCGGGAGTGCAGTGAACAGGACTGCAGGAACGCGCATGCGCTGCTGGTGGGAATTCACACCACAACACCGATCTGAAAGGCACTTGGCAGGGTAGTCCAAAGTAGGCATGACCCGGCAATTCCACTCGTGTGTGCACGTGTGTGTTCCCAAAACTCCTCACAAGCTTGAACGGGGTATGTAGGTGGACCCCTGTTGCAGCATTGTTTACGGTGGTGCGGGGGCGGGAAACCGGGAGGCCTCGGTTCCGCTCCGGTGGAGGCACACACCTAGGTTGTGGTCCAACGTCTGGGCAGGTACCGGAGTCAACCAATGAATACAGCTCTCTCTCATCATGTTTTTCTTTCTCCCTCCCTCTCTCTCTCTAAAAGCAATGAAAAAAAAATGTCCTCGGGCAAGGATAAAAAATGTTGTTTAAGAGAAAAGAGCCAAAGAACATATATGCATAACCCATAGACACACACAGACAACAGTGTGGTGATGACCAGAGGGAAGGGGGGCGGGGCTGGGAGGAGGTGGGCGGGGTGGGGCGGGGCAAAGGGGACATCTGTAATAGTGTCAACAAAAAAACTAAAGTTCCCATTTAAAAAAAGAATGAAATGTAATATGCAATACCACTTGATTTATGTAAATATAAAATACATGCTTACCATAGACACAGTTTACAACTCCCATAAATGGAGGACATTCGCTGAACACACGAGGATGCTGGACTGTGTGTGTTGGGGGGAGGAGAGGCAGTGCAGGGGGTTATGAATCAGGAGACCAAGGAGCAAGGCTGATATTGTCCATGAGAGGAGGAGTATCATCAACTCAACTCTCTACAACATCAAAACAGAAAAGATAAAGGGAAACTTTAACAACCTAGTAGGAAAAAAATGGGCCAAGGGCACAAAGAGTGAATGTGCAAAATAAATGCAGATAAGGAAAAAAACACATGAGAAGCAATGTTCAATTCTCAGTATCCAAAGAAATAAAATTAAGAGTGTGGTGGCATCCTTCATCTATCTTCCAGTGAAAAAAGGTAATAAAACACTCTATATTATCAAAGGAATATTTAAAGAGGCAGTCCTGATGAGCTAGTAGCTTAGATTGCTAATCCTTTGCTGAAGAGCAATCTAGCAATATATATGAAGAACATTAAAGATAAAGATAAACAAACCCTTTAATTCTGCCATTCCCCTTCAAGGAACTTATCCTAAGTAGATCATTAGATAAGAAAATAAAGATATAAATATGGCCAAAATTTACAAGAAAGGATAAAAACAAACTAAACATCCAACAACAAAGAGCTAAACCATTATGACACATGCATAATAAAGGAATATATAGTATGCTGTGTTCAAAGAATATTTACTGCACAGGAAAATGCTCATAAAATAATATCTGAAAAAATACAGGATTATATATATAATGCAAGAAAATACATAAATTGTGAAGAGTAGTTATCTCTGAATAGCAGTTTTACAATATTACTGGGTCCCCCCCCCTTCTCCATGTATTTCTATGTTTCCCTAAGGTCACTACAAAAATGTACATTCTCACTGTGGTTGGAAAATAGGCATTGATTTAGGGGGACCGGGGGCACCTTGACTTGCGAAGAACAGGTCATCTGAGAAGGAAGGGCGTGACCTCCGGTCTAAGCAGAAACAGTACCTGAGGATGACAAAGGAATCGCCGGGAGCGTTTTTGTAGTTGCCCTTCTCCAGAGGCCGGAGCTTCACAAAATGCACAGAGGACAAACCGGTGGGCGGGGCTTGCGGACCATCAGCACAGGCGCGGCCTAGGCCAGAGCACTCAGAGAGCGAGGACGTGCAGAATACGATAGGCAGGCGCAGTAGACTATCAGCGTCCCACGCACTTTCAACGGCAGAAGGTCACTGGGAATGATGGATGTCTAGAACAGTGTCCTTAGCAGACACGGAGGTGCTCCGTCTCCCTGCAGTTCCCACCCAGAAGGCATTTCTAGGTCATTTTGATCATTTCGAGGAACCTATATGGAGGCATCTCACCAGTATCAGAGAGAAACCTGGAAATCCAAAATTTCAGAAAAAAGCAATTATCATGTGAAGAGCTACTGAAGACAGGTTTGTAAAGATAAAATGGCGTGGAAATTAGGATAATTATATCTGGATTACACAAACCGAGAAATGCTTTCTTAAAACTACGTACAGCCCTAGCTGGCGTAGCTCAGTGGATTGAGCGCGGGCTGGGAACCAAAGTGTCCCAGGTTCAATTCCCAGCCAGGCTACATTCCTGGGTTGCAGGCCATAACCCCCAGCAACCGCACATTGATGTCTCTCTCTCTCTCTCTCTCTCTCTCTCTCTCTCTCTCTCTCTCTTTCTCTCTCCCCCCTTCCCTCTCTAAAAAATAAATAAATAAATAAAATCTTAAAAAAAAAAAAACTACGTACAGATTCCGCACTGCCTTACAGGAGCTTGGGTGCAGAAATCCTCCGCGGAGGCCTAAGGGAGACAGACTCGTGGTAGAATGGGGCGGGTTCACCGTGACAGAGACACTTGTGAGCCGAGCCTCAGTAGCGACTGATGCTGAAATACCTCAGCCTGAAGACCACCTAGCGGGGTGTGTACAAAAAAGGAATCCAACTCCTAAGTACCTTTGAGGGCCAATGAACTCAAACTTGAATTCTGGGAAGGCAACTGGGACTCTCGGCAGTGGGCAGTGGCGGAGGGCCAGGGCCCTGCCGAGAAGGACGCTGGGTTTCATGCGGGTACCGCTGAGCAGTGGGGCTTCAGGGGAGGGAGACACCCTCCCAGGAAGGAGGGGTGGGAGAACAAGGCGGCTTGGAAGGCCACGGTGTGGGGACAGGTCACCTGCTTTGTTGTGAAACGGGACCGTGAAAGATCAGTAGAACACAAATGAAATCCGTGTGTTACCTTCTTACGAACTGACACCCAAAGGTTTATGGAAGACTGCGTGTGTTATAAAATCACCACGGGTGTCATTTCTGAAAACCAATCAAGCCCCCCCCCCCCCGTAGTGTGAGCTGTGTATGACCTGGTGAGGCCTTTTCGAAAGCTGAATAAAACAAATGTTTGGAAAACAAGTTTATGTTGATATGGAGAGATGATTCATAGTGAAATAGCTAAAAAGAACAGCAGAAGAAAATTGTTCAAAATTCAGAGCAAAAGACAGTGTGACCTAAGAGCTAGGAGTCCCCCATTTGAAGTCGGACAGACCTGAGCAAGAGGCAACCTTGGGATGGATGAGGGACCTGGTGACGCACCAGAGCCACTAGGAACCTGCAAAACCAGACCAGGTCCTACTGACTTTCAGCATCTTCCCATGCGTGCGACCTCCATTTGTCTCTTCCGATCCCTCACCCACAAATACTCAACAAGTAATTTCCGTGTAGTAGGTTCACTGTAAGATTTGACAGCATCGCTTCCCAGCGCTCTGATGTGGTAATTTGTTGAAGTGTAACAAAGGTGTTTTTAAAGGGTGGGAAAAGAACTGTTTCAGCTCCCCATCCATACTGGGCACTCCCCCCACTTTCTGCCAATGCAAGTTTAAGTTTGTAGCACTATGCTTCTATTTCGGGGCCTGTTTATTTCATAGCAAGCTGCGTATTGTTTGGGTCTCATCTCCCCACTGGTCTTCAGAGACCCTGGGCACAAGGACAACTTTCATTCTTCTATCTGTAGCCCTTAGAGAATTTCTAACACACTGTGAGCACTCTGTAACTATTTGGTAGTACTCAGGTCCATCAACAGGTGTACGACTCATGGAGCCTCGGTTTCCTGACCAGGGAAACAGAAAGGGCCATTAAGCAGGAGTCACGTGACAGTGCCTGGCACAGGCCGGTATCCGTGGTGGCATGAGCCTTTTGAGCACTCACCCCCTTTCTCCTGGTAACAGTATTTTGTTTCCCTTTTACTGGAGGAGGAGATGGAGAGGATGTGACTCCCTGTTGTCCCGAAAGCTAGACCAGGGCAAGGGAAAGCTCAGCTGTTTTGAAGACACCGACTGGGGAGAGTAAAGAGTTGGTGAGACATCCAGATTGAATACATGTCTGAACCCGGTTAAGGCCTCTACACACACGTCTAAGATTCTGATGGGCAGGTGCAGAGGCCTACTCATCTTCAGCCCCAAGACGAGCCACAAATACAAGTTCCCTTGTGTATTAAACTGCCGCCTACCAATCGGAAGTGGTCTGCCTCTTTCTTGGGTCTCTTCTTGCCTTCCACGGATGGGGCCAGTTTCCAGTTGTACCTGGGGAATTCCCAAGGTTATGAACTAATTCCTTTGGGGAACCACCCCTTTATTACTCACAGGTCATGTGATTTCAAGGGTGCTGCATCTACTAGCCCCTTCCACCAGCCCTGCTTTCTTGGCTTGAGTATAAACAGAGGCACAGGGGTCAGGGAGCCTAGGCCATTTGCTGCAACAGTTAGGAAAGGCGCCTTTGTTCCATGGTGGTTGCTAGGTGACTTAGATAGCAAGCTCTGAGCTGCCAAGATTGCCCCCTGGCACAGCCTGACTGCAAACACTCCACTTCTAATGGGCTCTAAGATGCCATTGATCACAAAGCATGCCATTATTGTATGTACCCCTAAGAAGGAAGAAATATAAGAAGAAGTTGTATATTGCTCATTGATTTCAGTCATGTGGAAATGCAAGGAAAAATATGCACTTTAGAATGGATGAAATATGTAAAAGCAGCACTGAGGAAAAGGAGATGCACAGATACATCAAGTCCTAATGATAACATTTGAACCATTAGATTCGCCCGTGCCTAAACCCTAAACTTCTCCCAAACTTCTCAGGTGCATGAAGGTGTGTTACTTTGCTAAGGTTGCTATAACAAAGTACCACGAATTGAGTGGCCAAAACAATAGAAATTTATTGTCTCAGCTCTGCAGGAGAGAAGTCCAAAATTCAGATGTCGGCACAGTCGGTTCCTTCTCAGGGGGGATCTGTTCCAGGCCTCTCTCCTCGGCTTGCGGGCGGCTGTCTTCACCCTCACACAGCGCCCTCCCCATGTGAATATCTGTCTCCAAATATTCCCTTTTTATAAGGACGCCAGGCGCCTGGGAGTAGGGCTCACCCTCCTAACCTCCTGTTACTTTAATTGTCTCTGTCACAATCCTATCTCCCGATAAGGTCACATGCTGAGGTTCTGGGGGTTAAGCCTTCAACATATGTTTCTTAAAGAAGCCACAATTCCACCATTACAGGAGCTAATGTGAGTTGGGTTTCTGTCATTTACAACCAAAAGACTTCTTCTGCTCAGTAAATTTCGGTTTCCCCACCTTGGGTAACTACATTTTCTTTGAAGTACAGCGAGTTTCCAGGAAGGGGCCATAATGTGCGCAGGCACAGCTCTTACTTGACTAAATCCGTTTCTTCAGAGCAGCTCCAGTGTGAAACCAGAGCTCGGGACGGGGCAGGCAGGAGACAGGGCTCAGCGCCTGCCGGGAGTGAAGCTGGCAAGACAGCTACAAAAGGAATGGCAGTTGTGTCTTAAAGGGAAGCAGCATAAAGTTGGAAAAAGGACATTAATCTTAGGATGAAAACACTTTTTTGGATAAAATATTCTGCCCTGGCTGGTGTGGCTCAGTGGATTGAGCACTGGCTTGAGAACCAAAAGGTTGCTGGTTCGATTCCTTATCAGGGCACAAGAGGCAACCAATTGATGTTTCTCTAGCACATCGATAATTCTCTCCCTTGCTCTCTAAAAATAAATTGAAAACAATATTCTGACTCCAGCATTTTCTCTGTGATACTGGGTGAGCTCCCACACAGAGCTGGAGGCCCCCTAGCCTGGTTTGGAGTATTAACGCACAAACCTAGCCTGTCTCCTGAGGTGACGTGAAGACCCCATGAGAACTGTGTGGGGAAGCTCCTGGTCACTACACGCAAACTCAGGTCGCTACACACAGTTCAGTACTGCGGACTTGCCTCCCACTTAACTGACCCGGAGACCCAGCACACACTCTACACACATTGTCTCATTCGCTCTCCACAATCCCAGGAAGCAGTGAGGGTAGATTTATTATTCACCCCAGCTTTCAGATAAAGAAATTTAAAAATAGAGACCAAGACGCGTTTCCAAAGTCAGCTAATAACATCAAGTAAGTTGTGTAGTCCAGAGATGAATCCAAGTAAGGTATCTGCAGAGCTGAAGCTCTTAATCCAGTGGGGCGGCAGGGAGGGGAGAACAGGGGGCATCTACAGAGATACAGATGTGTACACAGATACGCAAAATTGCATGGGAAAGTGCGGCCACAGATGGTTGATGGAAGTGTGTACTCTATTTTAAATGGTGAGATTAAAGCAGGTGTTTGTGCTCGGCTCCTGGAAATAGAACTGCTGGCTCAGCCCCTGGAGGTGGAACGACCAATGAGAGGCCCAGACTTCGTTACTGTATCATTCTGAGAGCAGCTGCTCCGTGCAGAGTTGCAGAATCCAGCTGTCGCCGTGCGAGGACCGCCTTTCGATCAATGCGACGCCTTTGTTCAGGCTGAGCCTCTCCATCTTGTATTTCTCCTCACTAAGCAGTCTGTCCCTGGTTGCTTCTCTCACTCTGCCGATGTATTGGTGTCTGTTTCGTTGTTTCAGGTTGTATTTCACTGAGTGTCTCCATAGAAAAGTGTCCCTCCGAGTCATCTGGTCAACGGGATGTCCTCCATCAGAGGACCACCTTGGTACCGTTATCGCGCTATCCGACTGCAAGTCACACCCTCCCCCTGAAGTCAAAAACGCCATACCAATTTTGCACTTCTGGTATGGCCGATCCCATGCCCACCAGGACAGTGAGTAGCATTCTCTGAACTCTTATGTATTTTAAATTTTTTCTGACATAATAAAGAGTGGAAGCACTGAGATGAGGCAATAACCTTGGACCGTGAAAATATGGTGGTCACACTGAGAATCGTAGCCAAGGCTATTGCTGCTCCGAGAGCAGGTGGAGAGGCTCCCTCAGTCTGAACGTCTGGGCCCGGGCTGTGTGGTTTATTAATGATCTCACACAAGGATGAAGAGTTAGCCTGGTTGTGATCGCAGAGGCCCTGCCCACTCACTCACTGACACTGCCCTGAGAATGCAGCTTTGAAGGACACGGTTAGAAGAAGGTGTCTGTGGACCCAGAAGTTCTCCTGGGAATGGTATCTACCATCTTCCCGATTCCACAGCCCCGCCACAGCCTGCTCCCAGCTGGCACTGTGGGCCCTCCTCCTCTCCTGGGTCTCCACGGTTCACTGGGTCACACCAGTTCCCCCGTGTGTCGTCGTGAAGAACAGGGGCTTTTGGCGTGAGGCAGAGTAGCTTTAGGACGTGATAAGTTTATCTGCTTCTCTGTGCTTCAGTTTTCTCTACTACAAGCGGGGTGATAATCGTTACTTCCAGAGTATTTTGAGCATTGAATGTGAACACGTGCACCCTCACCAGCGTGGCTCGGTTGGTTGAGTGTTGTTCCACAAAGTGAAAGGTCACCAGTTCGATTCCTGGTCACGGCACATGCCTTGGTCATGGGCCCCTTCCCCAGCAGGGTTGAGTGTGAGAGGCAACTGACTGATGTTTCTCCAGAATGTTGGTGTTTCTCTCCTTCTCTTTCTCCCTTCCTTCCCCTCTCCAAAAATAAATAAATCTTTTTAAAAAATGTGAATGCAAACAAAATACACTGGATTCTAAGTAAAAGTTGTTCCTTTTCCTTTTTCTTCCAAAATTATCTCAAAACGGAACAAGTAATTCTGAAGGGGATCAGTAAATGCTAACTTTGAAAGGCTAACATGATGTCTCTCTGTCTCTCTAAAGATAAATCCATGTAGTGGCCATCGAAATGCAGACTCAGGAGCCAAACTACCTTGGGTTTAGATCCCTTTGTAGTGTGCCTGTTTATTTGAAAATGAGGATAACAAATTCGCAAACCTCACAGTCTCATTATGAGTATTAATGAGTTAAGCAGATAAAAATATACAACAAACTTGAAATGTAACTAAGTGCTTTCTAAGTGTTATAATAATTCAGGAATCTCGTAGTGAAACTTATTATTTAGACAGAGGTTGAATGCTTATCTTAATATATCAGTCCCCTAAAAGAGGGCTTTCCCAAACATCTAGGCCAATTTCTCTAAAAAAATGTATATTGGGGGGCCAGCTTTATTATTTTTTAGAACTATCATTTGTGTCAATGAGTTACAATTTTTTTCCAAAGGAAAAAAAAGAGGCTTGTTTAAAATAATAGTTCTTCTATAGTAGGGAATGAGAACCAACATTCATTCTTTCTGCAACCTGTATGTCCTGTATTACTCAAATAACACTCATGTGGATAACTGTTTAATGTGACTGTCAAACAGCTTTGCAACAGCTACATGGGGCCCAGCAGAAGGAAGGCTTTCTTGAGTGTGGTTGGTAGGTAGTAATATGGCTGTAATAATTTATTGTTTTAATTTGAACATTTCACCTAAAGTGTCATATGGTGTGCTTGAGTGTGATATGGTTATGTGACAGAATTACAGGCTTGTGATTTTGTAATAAAAAAGGGGGGGCGTTATTTGTGCCAGAGCCCGTATCACCCAAGTCTCACTGAGAGAGAAACCATCAGCAAAGGCCTGAGAGCGGGAAGGAGTGAGTCATGGACATCTGGTGGAAGAGCATTCTAGGAAGAAGGAACAGCATGTGCAAAGACTTAGAATGTTCAAGGAATGGCAAGGAAGCCAGTGTGGCTAATGCGGAGGAAGCAAGAGCAAGAGCAGCAAGGGTTTAAAGAAACAGTCTCAGAAAGTTATAAGGGCTTAATGAAGTTTTGTTAACAATGGCCAAAACCTGGAGACACCAGGGTATCTATCGATAGCAGAATGGATAAGTTATGATATAGTTGGTAATATAATTCTTCATGGACACAAAAAGGAAGAAAGACTACAGGCTTTCTCAATAACATGGGTAAATCTTACAAACACACTGTGAGGCAAAGAGGCCAAACGCTATCTAATAAAAACTGCATGAGCCCTGGCTAGTATGGCTTACTGGGTTGGAGCATAGTTCCATAGCTGAAAAGTTGCAGGTTTGGTTTCCAGTCAGGGCGCATCCCTAGACTGTAGGTTCGATCCCCAGTCTAGGTGCGTGTGTCCTGGGCACATATGGGGGGAGGGGCAACCAATCAATGTTTCTCACATTGATGTTTCCCTCTCTCTCTCTCCCTCTCCCTTCCTCTCTCTCTAAAAGCGATGGAAAAAAAAATGTGTCCTCTGGCAAAGAAAAAATACAATAATAATAAAATTTTTAAAACTGTATGATTCCATTTATATAAACTTACAGACAAGGAGAAGCTAACATATGCAACTAGAAGACAGATTCTAGTTACCTTTGACAAGGAAATAGATATTTTTTTACTGGAAAGAGGGCCCAAGGGTCTTCTGGGAGGGCTGAGAGGAGCTGTGTGTTGTTTCATTTTGTGATCATTCACTTCACATTTGTGCACCTTTCTGCACATGTTATATACCAATTTTTTAAATAAAAAATACACAACAGTGAATGGAAGAATTTGAGATAGCAAATACAGACAATTCTTTCAAGAAATTTTACCACAAGAGGAGCCGAGAAATAGTGTAATAGCCAAAGGGTTATTTTCTTTTTTCTAGTTGTTTATTTTTTTCCTTTTTTTTCTTTTTTTCTTCTTTTTTTCAAGGGTTATTTGCAGACGAGAGAAATGACTGTTTTGGAAAGTCCACTTAGTCATATTTGCCGTGAAAGAGAAACACCTGTCCTATTATTTACTGAATAGTTTTTCTTAAATCGGATAATTTTTAACTTATTTAAAAGCAAACTCCATAGTCACACTATAGGCATCACTTGCCATAATACGAGTAGTTATAGAAATACAAGGAAAACAAGTCACTCAAGGAAAATAATTTAAAAATGCAAAAAAACAATGCCATGTCAATAAAAATCAGTCTGATCGAGCTATATAACCTAACAGCTAAAAGCAAGTTCCTCAGTTAGACAACCAGAGCTGTTCATGACCAGTCAGGGGGGAAGGGCATTCTGTTCCATGTCTGTCTCTCATGACCACCGCTCACCTTTCCACCATCACCTTCCCCTTTGTCCTCGAAGCGTGTCGTTTTTAACATTATTCCCAATGAATGCAGCAGAGGAACAAAATGAAAGCACAGTCTCACAACTCTCCTGCGAAAGGATGCTGACCCACCCAGCACCTGAGTTCATCCTCAATTTCATGCGTCCCTAGCATGGAGGGAAATTCCTGCCCATCTCTAGACGCACGGCATATTTGGCAGTCTGGCCTAACTAAGGTTCTTACCGATTTTTTTTTTCCTTTATACCAATACCCTAAGAACAGAGGTCTAGAGCGTTATGAGGACTGGAAGCCTGGTCCCAAGTGGCCACCAAAGTCCAAAATGGCTTTAAAGTCTGTGCACCGTAAGAACCACGTTTGTTTGTAAGATTTCCCCCGACTTATCTCAAAGATACCTCAAAGATGAACAAAGCTGGACACTACTTGGAGCGGTGAGGGCAGATTTTAATCGTAATACTGTTGCAACAGGAAAAGGGTCCAACGCGAACCGAACTCAACTCCATTGGTAAAGAGATGATTGGTGGGGGGGTGGCAGGGGGCGGGATGTTAAAGAGAGAATGAGGGAATGGGGCTCAGTAGGTCCCCAAAGCGAAAAGCTCCCAACATTGGGAGGGAAGAGTGACACCCAGCTGGTATTGCTAAGCAGCCTTAATGGGACTTAGGCTCCTACCCTCCTACGGGGAGACAGACGCCCTTATTATCTTAGGGTGTTGGCTAGAGCAAGCAGTGAATTCTTTTGGCAGCCTTGAGTTTTCTCGCCGAGGCACTTTATGGGGGGCCAGAGTCATCCCAGGGATGTGACCTTGAGCTGTTAGAAACTATGTTAGTGTGTTTTCAAGTCTTTCTAGTCCAAGGTTGAGGCCTGGTTGAGAAAGAGGGTTTAAAGGAGCCTGGCTATAATTTGGATAAGGAGAGAATCTTTGTCACTTCTCAGTGAAATTATTTACCAAGCGCCAACTCTCTCCCTTCCCAAATTCTACAGGCAGGGTCCAAAGACTGTTATAGCCCTAGATGTATCTTCTGCTTCCCTGGAATCCTTTCTTAGGCTTTAAAAATCAACGTAGACATGAGGCGCAGCCCTGAATTTAGAAGCCGGCAACTGAGGCTGCAGTTGGGATGGAACTACAATTCCCAGCAGCCCTGGCGACAGAAAAAAGTTCAACTTCCCGACAGCCGTTCCCTATTGGCCATCAGCTCAGCTCCTCCCGCCCCTTCAAAACGCTGCCTGCCCTTCCGGCGGGCAGCGCTACCGGAGTCTCGGGGCTGCGGCCCCCGGTCCGGGAGGAGGAGCCGGCGTGGCAGCATTTCGCGGACGTCACTTCCGCTGGGCGGGCCTCTGGCTCTCCCGCGCAAATTGAAAGATCTGTCTCTTCCAGCGAGGTTGCCTCCGGTGCTGTGGCCGCAGTGAGTCAGAGGCTTGGCGGACGGGTTACTGGGCACCCACCCAGCTGCCCTCGAGCGGACGGGGAGAGCCCTTCCCGGGAAGTGAGCGGAGCAGGCTGTGCGGAGGCTTCGGGTGGGTTCTTGCTGGTCCCCGCGGGGTCCGTCTGCGCGTCCCCCGTTCCGGTCTCGGGATTCCGGCCCTGCGTGGTCCTCCGGATCCTAGAGCGCGGGGCTGGCGCTGCCCGAGGGCAGTTCGTGGTGCGGGAGGGTGTTTGATCCCGAGGGAACGCGCTTGGTCAGGCTAGCGCTGCAGCTTGCGAATCGAGGGGCCGTCCGTGCTCCCCGCGGACCCTTGCCTGCAGAACCGGGCACCGGTCGTCGGACTCAAACTTTCTGAGGAAGCTACCAGTTCCGTTTTTATGTGCGATCTCCTGACTTTTAAATGTTGACAGGTAGATTTTTTCCTTAATGCAAGCCACGGAAAACGTGTCTTCTGGAATGGGCTGGCGAGCCACTCCTGTACATCTCTGCGCGGCACAGGAGTGAAGGGTGATGTCGCTGCTGTCCCTGTTCCCTCTTGTGGTCTGCTTGACTGATTTGAGTCTCGCGGCACACTGTCAGTCTCATTATGCTGAAGAGGAATTACGTGTTCGAGGATATTCACCTCGCTTAGAAGAAACTATGTTTCATGAAATGTAGACTGCGTCAGTTTTCCTCCGAGTGCAAGAAAAGTCTTCAGGGACATTATCTGAGAGGTGGGAGATAAATTGTTACTCTCCAACTGTGGCTTGAGGACCACCTGCATCCAAGTTACCTGCTGAGATTAAAATTCAGAACTCCCCACCTCACTCACTAATTAAGTGAATCGCAGCCACCAGGAGTGGAGTTGAGAGTCTGCGAACTGCTGAAATTTGACTGAAATTTGACAACCGTTGCACTAGAGCATCAGCTTCAATACAGTATCAACAGGGTAAGGCTGACTTCTGATCCTGCGCTCCTCCCTTCCTCCCAAACCTAATGTTTGGCGGGAGAGATTTATGTTACGAAATGCCAAGCAACTACTCTATGCTCATTGCTGTCTCTTCTCATCCTGGGGACTTGCGGGGAATAGTTTCTAAGGGAAGGAATGTGGCAGCTCCACAATTTCCGTACAGAAAGGGTGTGGGGGTTGCAATCTGGATGGAAGGGTAGGAAGTTAACACTTGTGTCCCGAAGCATTTATTATATTTTTCAGTTGAAATGCTTACCTTCCTACGAACTGTTTTGACTTTCCCCTCCTATGCTGATGTGCATATTGGCTCTTATAATGCATGTGTAGAGGGAATTTGATGCTGTAGCAAGAACAGTTTTACTGATTTTAGCAGCCTTTTTAGAGGGAAGAAAGCCTCGTACTTTCTTAGTCCCTCCATGTGTCTAATGCTGTGTTAAGTAAGGGCTTAGAGTGCATATGATTCCAAATGGGAAAGCACTTTGGAAAGAATAAACTTTAAGGAACCATCAAATGACATTAGAGATGGTATTAGGGTTTGGTGTAAAAATTCTAGACTATGGAAATTGTTTGACAGGGAGGCACCCAGGTAAACTAGTTGAGAACATTGATTCTCAAATATCTGAACAGTAACAGGTGCTTATCAGCTGCCAGCATCTTTTTTTCCTCCCTAAAACTTTCGGGTAAATATATATTTGCTTTAAATATTGCCGTTTTCCCTTTCTCCTTTCATATCGTATAGTTAACTTGGCACAATGGGAATACACGGGTTACTGCAGTTTATCAAAGAAGCTTCCGAACCCATCCACGTGAGGAAGTATAAAGGGCAGGCAGTCGCCGTGGACACGTACTGCTGGCTTCACAAAGGAGCCATTCCATGTGCCGAAAAGCTGGCCAAAGGTGAACCTACCGATAAGTAAGTTTGGACCTCGTGTTAATTCGTTGCCAAGTAAGAGTGAGATTATAATGCCTGATTTTCAGAAAAGGATCGTTTTCATTCCGTGCCAGGTTTCTCGAGAAGTGAAAGTGTGTGTGCACTAGAACTGTGCCAAACGGGGAATGACTTCCTTCTGTGACACAGGTCTGGTTTTTATTTGGAATAAGCCAGACTGTCAGCACACTGGTGGACAAAGACTGGAGAGCGAGCATCTCCTTGATTCTTTGTGTAAGGCAAACGCATGAACAATATTCTGAAAACCCGTTGTGATTTCAGACTTCTACTCTTTGAGTTCAGACAACACTGCTAAGCCCTGTCACCAAAGCAAGGCATTTGCTTCAAAGGAGCGAGGTGTTCTGGCTCCCTTTTGCTTCGCTTGGGACCGCACATGGTGGGCCATGTAGACATCCGTTTGACCCCGTTTGAGGCAGGACTGTGTCCTCTCTATTTTTTTAAATAGAAACGTTAGAAAAACAAGCACAATTTCTGGACAGATTTTTCCCCAGGGAAAAATTTGGGCACTAATGATGTCTTTTCTTTTTTGCAATGTATTATATCATTTGTTTCCCAGAGGAAAGGCTCGCAGATCTTAATGTGACTTCCTTACACACAGTGGACTGTAGGGAAAATGGGTTAATTAATCCTGTTTGTTCCTTAGAAGAAAGGGGAAAAGTCGTTATTGAACGTGAGAATTTAGGGCCTTCAGCCTGTCCAGTCACGTTGACCACGTGACCTGTAACAGTGGGTGAGGTCGAAGGATCGTCACTCAGCTGCCACTCTGACTACTAGGATCAGTCTTTCAAGCCAATTTCTTTTTCACCATTACATTTGAGCAGTTGCAATTGTACTTGAAGACTACAAGTTTTTTATTGTTTTTTCATTGTCTCTTTGACTATTTCTTCATGGGGGGAGAACTTCGTTTCTAGTTTTTGTAATTCCCGAGGATTCTGAGGTTGTTGACTAGTTGGAAGAGCTGCCCACAACACAAGGAATGAATACCCTTTACAGTGGGAGGTGTCGGAGCTGAGCCCCAGCGGACCTGCCCTGTGGGAAAGGTCCAGTAAACGTGTAGTGAGCTAAAAAGTATCAGGACTTTCAACAAAGTATTGTGTGTTTTAATTTTCTTTCCCAAAGCAGCTAATAAATCACATCTCATAGAGTTTATGATCCTTTTTTGGTCCATCCTTGGATGGGAATATTAACCAGATGGGGACAGAAAAGTCAGTGAGCCTGTGATAAACTTTTGTGACCTTTATAAAGAATAAAATAAATCTGTATGTGCTGGAAGTGCATAAAATGAGGGCACCAGTAGCTGATGTTTGTATTCTGTCTGGTTAAAATTTTTTTAATTACAATTTTATATGGCTTTCCCCTATTTTTGCATGACATGTAATCAGATCACAGCGATCGCTGCGTAAATCAGTGCAGGTCTGTTTTCAGTAGTTTACAGGAAAAAAATCAGGACAACATAGTAAATCTTTCATTAAGATGAATGTGTTTGATTTGAACGATTACTTTTTAAGATTATGCCTTTCTATTTCTATTTTGAGTTACAGTATCCTTTTTTAATGAAATAATGGGTGTTGTAGACGTAGTTATTTTTGTAAGTTGCCTTGCCAGAATAAAAAACTAAACGCAGTACGTGATCCTTGTCTGCATCCCGGGCTGGGGGTACAGTCTGCAGCAGAGTTGCAGTGGAGAGAATTCACACGAGGTTCCTGCATGCCCTCTCCCAGTTCGGGGACCCCACGCTGGTAGTTTGCCCCTCGCTGCAGAACGTGCCCGTCGGGGAAACTGACATGCCACACCTCAGGCGGTCCTTACCCCAGACTGGTGGTTGAATGTTTACTGGGACACCCCTGATTATAAAAACGTCATTGGGACAGTGGGACCAATTTTAATGTAGACTGTATAATAGATGATAGTTTATTGCTGTTAAATTTCTTGTGTGTAATAATGGGACAGTTGGATGATCCTTTCAACTTTTCAATAGATGTGAAATTTTTCCAAGCCAAAAAAATCAAAATGGGAGAAAAGGCAAGATGTAGAACAACACAATGTTAGAATTGGAAAGATACCAAAGCCTTTTCCTCTACAGGTGAAGAAAGCAAGGCTTGGAGGGTAAAGTAACTGTTGACTGACACTTAGTTTATCAGGATCCAGGGCAGGATTTGAACCCACGTCTAAATTAGTTTCCATTTCCTATGAAAACATTTTTTAAAAATAAATAAATAAAAACCTCTTTTCATAATTCATGTCATTGGTTTTAAAAAGCAAAGGTGTTACCTTACAAGATGCAAAATACTTAACTGCATTTCCTTTATTTTTAATAGGTATGTAGGATTTTGTATGAAATTTGTAAATATGTTACTGTGTCATGGGATCAAGCCCATCCTTGTATTTGATGGATGCACTTTACCTTCTAAGAAAGAAGTGGAGGTGTCCAGAAGAGAGTAAGTGGAGTCTCTATTTAATCTCTGACTTACTTGCATTGAGGTCTGATGCTGTGGTTTTTAATTTGCTGAGGCTTGTTTTAAAGCCTCCCAGAAAGTATTCCTCGAGTTCCTTGTATGTTGATAAAATTCTGTCCTTTATACTTGGAGGTTAGTTTTGATATGAAAGTGTTGACTCACAGTTTCTTCTTAAGTGCCTTAGTTAATTCATCTTCTTCTGATGTAAAGCCTTGCTGTGGGCAGGCCTGGGGAGCTGGTGTGACTGTGCATTATAAATCACTCCTTCCTGTTGCCCAGAAGCCCAAGGGATCTGGGTTAACAGGCTCAAGGACCTGGTGTGCACTTTCGTATGAGTCCAACTTCTTTCTGTTCTAGGAACATTTCTTGAATTAGAGTTTTATTAGAGTTTCTTGATTCGGCCTCTTAACTTTTTTCCCCTTGCAGAAGACGACAAGCCAACCTTCTTAAGGGAAAGCAGCTTCTCCGAGAGGGGAAGGTCTCGGAGGCCAGAGAGTGTTTCACCCGCTGCGTCAACATCACACACGCGATGGCCCACAAAGTGATTAAAGTAAGCCAAGGGGAGGTGATGTTGGAGTAACAAAGGGTGGAGTTTACTGAAGCGGGTCACAAGTTGTGTGTTAGTGGGAGAGTAGACAGGAAGGGAGGGACATTATTGTGGGCCTGATCTGGAGAGGGCTGATGGTGGAGGAAGAAGGGAACAGTGTGTTTAGATAGAGGGACCCAGCAGTTTCCAAGGGAGAAAGCCTCCCTTTTCAGGTAAGTCACTTCAACTCCACAACCCGCCCTGCGGAGATGGAAGGGGTACATTCCCGGAGGAGCAGCCCCACCCCACCCTCATGGAGTCTTCACCACTTACTGACCCCTCACTCCCGTGACTGTTAGAGGCCTCGGACCAGCCTGGCTGACTTGGGAACTCTGTGGGCTTCCAGGCTGCCTAACCCACTCTGCTTAGAAGCGTCTTTTTGTTACTGCAAATACTAGCACCCACGTGCCCACCATCACAGCCCTCACTTCCCCTTTGCAGGCCTGTGCTCAAACTGCTTGATAAACAAGCAGGAAAATAAATGTAGTGATTAGATTCTGCAGTTCATCGTTGTCAGACTTTTGCAGTCTGACGAGAGAACTCGTCATCTGAGCATATATATTCAGATGTCTAAAGATGCCTCGTATACTTTTGGAGCATAACCATTCTGAAGACAGAAGCTTTCTATAATTTGAAATAATTCAGTTTTGTGGCTTATCAGTTATTGCCCCCCTCACTTCCTCAGTGTATGGCAGTGTTTTCTGCAAATGTATAAATTGATTTTTAAAAGACTTAGTGGCAATATGAGCGGTTAAATATGCATATGCCAGGATTAAAAGTAGAAAAAGCACACATCAAAGGAGATGACTTTTGAAGCAGTACTCTGCATGTGGAGGCTGCCCATGGAGTGGACTTGGAGCAGGAAGTTGTGTAGCTATGTCCAGGTGCTGCCCCGCACACTGATGGGTCCTCTGTCACAGGCTGCTCGGGCCCAGGGCGTCGACTGCCTCGTGGCGCCGTATGAAGCGGACGCGCAGCTGGCCTATCTCAACAAAGCCGGCATTGTCCAAGCCATAATTACGGAGGACTCGGACCTGCTCGCGTTCGGCTGCAAAAAGGTACGTAGAGAGTATAGATCAAGGAGCTGAAGCTTTCCCTCTCCGGTAATATCTTATTTAATACCTGACATTAATTTCTACTTACGGTGTTAACAATTATGTAAAATGAAAAGTGTTTTGCTGTTTGACATTTGTATCATCTGTGTGCTTTTTCAGAATAAGCCCTAAAGTTAGAGCGTTATGTTGTGTTTTGTCCAAATTCTTTAGTAGAATATAGACTTACTAGTCTTTTTTAGTAATGATAACTTAGGCGCTTTATATTCTTCAATTAGATTCAGTTAAAAACTAATTTATCCATTAATGGGATTGTGAATAAAACTGTTTAATGGAAATTTTTATGGTATATTAAGGGGGGAAATTAAGATACAAAAGTGTAGGCTGGCCTCATTTTTGTTGGTGCCATGTTATTTATATTATCTATGTTTCGTAGATGACTAGAAGGATCTATGTCAGAAGGTCAATGTGCTGGGTAACAGTGATAGATGGGAGGTTTAGGGCAACTTCTGTATTCCTCCTGAATTCTCTGTTTTCCACATTTTTTCTGTAACGAGCATGCCTCACTTTAAAGATAAGAAAAAGGGTTACTTAAAGTAACAGTGGAAGTCAAGTGCTTTCTGTACGAATTGCCATCTGACAACTGTGGAATGTAAGTAGGCACCAGTAGGTGCCGAAAGGGCATTCCTTGGGTCACGGTCACAGCCGCTTATTTATTTGCAGATATGACAGCAGTTAATGGGCCTGTCTATCTCGCTCTCTCCCATCGTCACGATGAACAGCAAGAAAGATCTCAGAAATATTGCAATGGATTGCGGCCTTATAGGTATTAACAGCTTCCCTTCCTTTCGAAGGTGATTTTAAAGATGGACCAGGTAGGAAACGGACTGGAAATCGACCAGGCCCGGCTGGGCATGTGCAGACAGCTGGGCGGGGTGTTCACAGAGGAGAAGTTCCGCTACATGTGCATCCTGTCGGGCTGCGACTACCTCTCCTCGCTGCGTGGGATTGGGCTGGCCAAGGCCTGCCGAGTGCTGCGGCTGGCCAACAACCCGGACATTGTGAAGGTGAGGGGGGCTAGCAAGCAGCTTGCTTGATGTCCGAAGCGTTTCTTAAACCATAGGTGGAACACCCAGAATGTGGATTTTAAATACGCTGTTAATAGCCAACTGAGTGTCACTGAAATAAGAGAATGACCTGACACTCTGGAACTTTGCTTTTTGGCAACTGACGAGCCACGGCTTCAGCAACGGACAAAAGAGCAGTAGCGACTTTTTAAATGGAGAGAAATATAAAGAGACTCGAGGGCTATTTACAATATTCCAGTAGAAATAACGTTAACACATACTGCTTTTGATTTCTGTCCTATTGCTCAGTAGTGGTCCTCAGACTGTTGGTCTCAGGATCCCTTTATGCTCTTAAAAGCTCCTTTTGCAGGTACTTTTTGTTTATATGGGTTATAGCTCTTGGCATTTACCAAATCGGAAATTAAAACAAAAGTTGAAAAGTTTATTAATTCACTTAAAATTAATGATAATAAATTCTTTTTATGAAAAGTAGCCCTGTCTCCTAAAACCAGTGAAAACTGTGAGAATTGCACATTTATATGAATCTCTTTAATGTGGCTTAACAGGAGACAGCGGGGTTCTCCTCTCCACTTGCCCACATAACCTGATGCGGTGTCCTGTGTCTTGGAGCCGGGAACTCTGGGAAATTCTGAGTTACCGCGCGTCACTGCTCCGTAATTTCTCTGACAGGAGTGCGTTTTCTCCCCACTGGGTGGTTCTCTAAATCCCTCAGAGTGTGCAGGGCAGAGTGCCCGTGTTCTGTTTCCCAGGGGACACAGAGTGCGTCCTCAGAGCTGAGGGCGGCGCAGTTTGAGGGGGAGACCTCTGGACTGGGAGGCGGTGGCGGAGCTGGGGAGAGAGCTGTGTGTCCTCGCCGGTCTGCGACTCGGGGTCACTCTGGTTCTTGGGCCTTCCCCGCTCCACCCAGGAGTTCGACGTAAAATGTTTAAAACCACTTCCAGCTTTAACCATCCATGACTCTGTTGGTAGGAGCTAGAATGCCAACTTCGCTTTGAAAATACGATCTGGGGATACTTGGGGTTTTTCAGTTCTTGGGTTTTATATGTTGGGTTTTGCCTTCTGAATGAAAGAGACTTTGAGGGTAAAGAGAATCTTAAACTTATAACTGGGCATATAAACTTGATGTGTAACTGAATTTTTCAGTCTTTGGATTAGTAATAGAAAAAGCAAACAAAATACTATTACAGAGATTCAGAGTTTTGGTGATATTACATGCTTGTGTTTGATGGTAGAGGCTTTTATTGGAGGTGAAAGCAATTAGTTTTTCTGTTTCTCCTCACCCTCCTTTCATGTAAACTGATTGGTCTTGGGGCTAATACACTCTCTATTCTTCGTTTGCAGATAACTCATAAATATTTTTGCATCCATTATTAGGTTATCAAGAAAATCGGATATTATCTCAAGATGAATATAACAGTACCAGAAGATTACATCAAAGGATTTATTCGGGCCAACAACACCTTCCTCTATCAGCTAGTTTTCGATCCTATCAGAAGAAAACTCATCCCTCTGAACGACTATGGAGATGACATTGACCCTGGAACCCTAAGCTATGCTGGGCGGTATCCTTTCTGAGCCAGGGCGGCAGAAGTTTTCAATTCCTCCGTGTGCTTTTGGTGACATTTTTAGTGAGACATTCAGTGAAAAGCTTACAAATTGTCTTTTGCTTTCTTTTTTATAGTGAAATCTGTATTTTGTTGATTTTAATTACCATTCTAGTGAAAATGTAGAGCAACTTCTTGTTTATAAATCTGAGGCTCATTCGTTATAACTTGCTAATTACTTAGGTTGCCTTGATAGTAACATGTCCAGAGTTGGTCACTTAAGGAGCATGTTCCAAGGGTGGCTTTTAAGAGAAACACTCATGGCAGGCCAGCTCCAGGTATCAGGAGAAGCAGGTGGGGACTCCCTCGGATATGCCCCTCCCACAGCCACTGGCCACGCCCTCGGGCCCTGCGAGCCCCCAGCCACTCAGGTGGGGGCTCGGACTTTGCGGTGTTTCTTGAAAGGGAGTCAGTGATGACTGGGGACTTTGCTCCAGAAAACAGCCACCTTCTGCAGCGATGGCTAGAGATAAGAAAATCTGCTGGCGGTTTTGGCAATGCTGAGTGTACAAGTAGGGCCCACTGCAGTAATGAAACTGAAGATTTTCTGTGATGGCGGAATGTGCTTTTTAATCTTAACTGCGGTGGCTTTTGTTTGCTTGCTGACGAACACATCTTTCCTTAATCTTACCAACCCAGGTATATTGATGATTCTATAGCTCTTCAGATAGCACTTGGAAACAAAGATATAAATACTTTTGAACAGATTGATGACTACAATCCAGACACTGCTATGGTAACATTTTAATGGCTTCTTTCTAAAAGCACATTTTACTTATATTTCAGTTATGTCTCAGAACTGTGACTAAAGGCAGATCTCCATTTGGTAAACATATTTTAAGCGTTTTAATATCCGGGCACACTGCAGAGAATAGGTTGAAAAGACCTTGATGCTAGAGAAATTGCATCTCTTAGAATGTAGGTATATCGGTTAATGTCCTTAAATTAAAAAGCGACCACATTATGTGGTATCCAACCTTTAGACTTGAACATTTCACGCAAATATACCAGGATTCCATGCCCCTCACCTCATCCTGCCCAGCCTTGTCGTTTGGTGTTGCGGAAGGCTGAAACCCAGAAGCACACTGCTCTCGGGAGCCCGAGCTGGTTTTCACTCGTTCACGGTTTAGCAAATATATTTAGTTGGCACCTGCTGTGTTCTTTAAGCTCCTTCCTGTTTTCTTCTACTTGTTCCTGGTTGTATACACCCCTTATAGTGCACTCTCCCACCTTCCTCCTTTCTGTTCATATTTTCATTCAGACTGTTTTCTTTTCATTCATATGTGTTCTAACCCAGTCTTTGGCCTGTTTACCAGGCCCATAATTCTAAATGTCTTGAATCTACGTAAATGACTTCTGTAACCTTAAATCTATCTGCAGTCAAAAAACAAACTCTACATTCCACATTGGCTTTCCCTAATTACATTTCTCTCTTTTTCTCCTTTTTAGCACTTTCTGCTACATAATTTATGTGTGTCTATGGTTTGTTTTCTGATTCTTCCCAAAAGAATGCAATCTCCATAAACATGGGGTTTTATGATCTTTCATTGCTAAGTCCTTACAAGCAAGGATTACATTTTCTTTGTACTCCAGAATATTAGCTAACCTAACTATGTTTAATGTGCTTAATAAAAGCTTAGTAAAGAACTGAATTAATGAGCAAGGGTAAAAAACACCTGGATTAGACTGGAAACTATGAGAAAGCAGAAACAATCAGCCAGCAAGGCAACTGAAAGAAGCAAAGGGACTTAGCAATGAAAGCAGGCCAGCCTGTTTCCAAGTTTTTTGGACTGAGAGGATGAAAGAGATCATGTAACTGACATTCATTCATTCAACAAGTAAAGTAGGTAGATAATACCCATACTAACTGTCAGTAAGGCCTTTTACAGGGGAAGTTTCATGTAAGTCTCAACGTAGCTATTTCTTCCTACTGTCCACTGAAGGGGTTCCAAGTGTGGGCTCAGTGGGAACTAGTGTTTTGTAAAGTAGGTTGTTCTGGTTTGACTCAACCAGTTTCTAGAGGGGGGATAGTTGATTACTTTAAATACATAATTTTGTGGTTTGAACTTTCAGGTGCTTTGTGAAGGGCATGTAAATGATTATTTAGACATTTATTGCCAGGTGATGGTTAAACTAATTAATGTGTATTGAAATAATACCAAATTTTAAAAGTCCTTTTTTTGGTCTACACTTCTTCGATTGCAATCTCACATCTTGTACTATTCGTCTTAGGAAGTTTTCTTTTTCATTTCTGAGAAATGAGCTAACAAGGTCACTTGACCCTCGTTAGAAGAGAAACAAACCTAGGAATACAAGGCACATTTAGAAAAGTATAGGACCAGAAAAGTAGGAAATGTTATTACAGAACAGATATTTCATCAAAAAGCTGTTCTTTTTAAGGGTAATTTAATTATTTGCTTATCATGTATGTTGATGCAGAGGGAGATAAATTGACTGTTTTTCTTCAAGTAGCCGTTTTCCTTTTCCTGCTGTAGCCTGCCCAAGCAAGAAGCCGTAGCTGGGACGACAGAACGTGTCAGAAGCCATCCAACACCGGAAGCATCTGGCACAGGAATTACTGCCCCCGACTGGAGCCGGATGTTGTTCCAGACGCTGCAAGACCGAAGGGAAACCCAGGCACTGTGGGCATCGAACAGGTGATCAGCACCAAAGGCTTAAATCTCCCCAGGAAGCCGTCCTCTGTGAAGAGACCAAGAGGTGGTACGTAGTTCATTTTTGTGAAGTACTAGTGTGTATCAGTCACACTGAGGAAATCTTTGCTAAACCCAAGGCCACTAAGATTTTTCTCCTGTTTTTTTTTTTTAGACGTTTTATAGCTTTAACCCTTATATTTAGGCCTATGATTAATTTTGAATGGGTTTTTTAAATGCAGTGTGAGGTGAGGGTCAAAGTTCGCATTTTCGTGTATATGGCGGGTCAGTTGCCCCAGCACCGCTTGCTAAGAAGGTGACCCTTTTCCTGTTGAACTGTCTTGGCACATCTGTCTGCGGTCGGTAGACCGTGTGTGTGCGGGGGGGGTCTGTTTCCGGGCCCTGGCTCTGTCTACACTGTTGGTCTCTCTCCCTGCCCCAGGCCAGACACACTGTCTTCACCGCTGTAGCCTTACAGTCAGCTTCCAAGTCCAGTGGTTTAAGTTCTTTTGAAAAGTTGTTTTGGTTAACTCTGTGTTTTCCACATTTCCATTTAAATCTTAAAATCAACTGTCAGTTTATTTATTTAAAAAAAAAAAGCGTGCTGTGATTTTGATTGGGATTTAGTTGAATGTATAGATCAATTTGGGGGAAATTGACATCTGGACAACACTGAGTTTCCTGATTCATTTGTGTACATCTAATTTAAGTCTTTAGCAGTGCTCTATAGTTCACACTGCACGGGACGTGCACATCCATTGTCAAGTTTTTCCCTATATTTCAGACTCCTTATGCTATTGTAAATGATACTTTAGTTTCGATTTCTAGTTGGTCATTGCTACTATAGAGAAAGATAACTGATTTTGTATACCAGTCTTGTATTCTGCAACCTCGCGGAATTCGCTTTCGAGGACTCTAGGACTCTCCATATAAACAGTCGTACTGTGGTCAAGTAAAGACAGTCTTGCTTCTCCTTTTCCAGTCTGGGTGCCTTTTATTTCTTTCTTGCCAGGAATATTCCCACTAATATTTTGTTTTTGAATCTTTGTATAATATATGGGTATTATCTGCATCGGCTAAAACTTTGAGAGGTGTGGCTTCCTGCATCCTAAAGTTCTGGTTAAAACGTGGCTGCTTTGTCCTGTCTCAGTGAACCAGAGCAAGCACGGAAATCTAAGGCATGAGGTAGAGTGGGACCTGCTTTCAGACTCAGGATCGTCACTAGTCCTTCAGGGCCGTGCGGCTGCTGCCAATCCAGTAACTAATGTGCAGTAGGTTCTGCTCCGTCTTGTCCTCCTGGATAAGAGGAGAGACACTGAGTGTCTTAAACCTCTGCCCTTCCCCTGGGTGGCGAGTGTAAAGCTTGTTGCAGGAGGGAATGAGCTTAGCCTGGCGTGGCTTCTTGGGAAGCCTTGTTGTGGCCCCTATAATATTTGTTTTTCATCTTTTGTAAGGGCTCATAATTCTCTTCCTAGTTAACAGATTTGGGCTTTTGCCAGGAGTCAAAATCAAATTTACTGATCTTTTTAAAAATCTGTGCATTTTAAAATTTGAGTATTGTCTCCTTGTCTCTAGTGTGTTGGTGCCCTCAACTGTCTTATGGGTGTTCTGGAGTGATGAGTACTTACTCCTATGTGGGTGGACACTGTTCCGACCGGGGACTGGTTGGGCTGACTTAAAACTTCTTACTGCTGTCTGTGTGTCCTTGCCTGTCTCAGGCTGGGACTTTTTTTTTTAAAGATTTTATTTATTTATTTTTAGAGAGGGGAAAGCAGGAAGAAAGAGAGAAAGAGAAACGTCAATGTGTGGTTGCTTCTCATGCGCCCCCCCAATGAGGGCGTGGCCCACAACCCAGGCGTGTGCCCCGACTCGGGAATCAGACCGCAGCCCCCTGGTTCACAGGCCAGCCCTCAATCCACTGAGCCACCCCAGCCGGGGCTGGAACACTTTTTAAATCAAACATTAATTATGTATTTACATGTAAAGTCTGTTAAAAAAATTTTTTTTTACATTCAAAATTAGGCCCTTAGTATATGGAGCATATTGCCTTACAGAATTGATTGCCTCCTGAAATTTTGGTTTGGGTAATTTCACATAAAATTATACAAATGACATTAAATTGAAACTAACTTGTGAAATCATAAAACACAGCTAAGGAACTTACTTATTTTAGTTATCCTTGGTTTCCTTTTCTGGTGCATAGTTTAAAAAAAAAAAAGACTTCATTCGTAGGACAAAGGACGCGGACAGCGAGGTTGCAAGGCGACAGCCAGATGTCTAACTGCACGTGAACACAGGTCGTTGCTTTGTTTTCCCTCAGAGGGGCTGTCGGAGGACGATCTGCTGGGTCAGTATTCCCCTTCGTTTCCGAAGAAGACCAAGAGAAACAGCTGCGACAGTGGTAAGCCACTGAACTCGTCCAGAGTGTGCATGCCCGACCTGCTGGACGCAACTGCTGTTAAGAAGAGCTTAAGTGCACCACCCACGGCCAGGAATAAGTTCGCAGCGTTTTTACAGAGAAAAAATGAGGAGAGCGGCGCAGTCGTGGTTCCAGGGACCAGAAGCAGGTATGGCTGCACCTCTGGACTGCGGGCTGTCTGCTGTACCATACACTCTGTGGGTGCGGGTGTAACCGCTGTAAATAAACGTGGAGTCCAGCCAGTGGGGGGGAGGGGGTGCAGGATCAGATTTAATACAGTCACAGTTTTTATCACGTATTGCCTCAGTTAACGAGGAATGTAACAAAATACACAAGCTCCAAATACGTGTGTGTATATATATATATATAGAGAGAGAGAGAGGGGGCTGCTTTTAGAAAACCCTAAAAATTGATTGTAGAAATTTTTAAATGTGTGCTTGTTGGCATAATCAAGAACTCTATTTTGCCTTTTCTTTTTAATGAAGTTATGTATTTATGAGACTTTGTTTTAAAAACAAACTGGGCCATACTCTGAATCTTACAACCTTGTGAGAAAACTAAAATACTTACACAGTCTTTCTGTTATTTTTTTCTGTTAGGTTTTTTTGTAATTCTCTGGATTCTATGGACTGTCTGTCAAAGAAAGCAAGCAGCCAGCCTCTAGGTGAAACTGCTGTCGCAGACAAAAAGACCAGTCTAAGGGAATCGGATTGTCTGGAGGGCACGAAACTGGGTGATCTAAGTGAATCAGATAGTCTGGAGGGCAAGAAGCTGGGTGATCTAAATGAATCAGATTGTCTGGAGGGAAAAAAGCTGGGTGATCTAAATGAATCGGGTAGTCCGGAGGACAAGAAGCTGGTCAATCTAAATGAATCGGATAGTCTGGAGGACAAGAAGCTGGGTGATCTAAGTGAATCAGATTGTCTCGAGGGCAAGAAGCTGGGTGATCTAAATGAATCCAGTTGTCTGGAGGGCACGAAGCTGGGTGATAGGAATGTTGCACATAACTCAAATGATCAGACTCCAGGTAATGTGACTGTGGTTGCTGATGAAGAGTCTCAGTACTTTAAGACCAACAAATTCACAAGGACCATTTCACCACCCACCCTGGGGACACTAAGAAGTTGTTTTAGTTGGTCTGGAAGTCTTAGAGATTTTGCGAGAACCCCGAGCCCCTCTCCAAGCACCATGTCGCAACGGTTCCAGAGAAAGGATGGCTCCCCCGGCTCCCAGCCTGAGCCCAAGACGCCCGATGTGTCATCTCAGGTGAAGAGCGGCGAGTCGGGGGGTGACGCGCATCCCTCGCGGGACGTCGGGCGGCTGTCACAGTCCCCGGAGAGTGTGGAGTTGTCACCGCTCAGCCTGAGTGCATCGGAACTTTCTCAGCCTTCGAGTAAGGACTTCGATTCAGAGGTAGGTCACATTACGAGACCTCTGTCTTTAAAAGTATTTGTAAAACAAAGTAGGGTATGTATCGTGGAACTGAGAAAAGTTTGCCTACATTGTGGAAATAATTGGCTGTCTTCATTTTTCATTCTAGACATTACTGTGTAGAAAATTTACACTTTTTTCGTCTGAAGGACTTCTCTGTGTCTTTCATATTTTAAATTCATACTCATTTAATGTAACTGTGCTGTTTGAATCACTGTCTCAAGTCGTGGAACAGGGAGGACCTAAGCAGAATGATAAGCTATGAAATGAAAAGTTGTTATAAATGTAATATTTATTCCTTAATATGCTCTTGAATTCAAGAGAGCATTTAAAGCCTTGTAAGGAGTTGGCCCTACTAATGCAATGGTGTCCATCCTAAGTTTTAGCACTTGGAAATTTATTTTCATTTACTCTTATAACTTCCCCTGTATAACAAAACAAAAACAAGTGACTTTATATTATTTTGTTTTAAATGCATAAAAGCATCCTTACCATTTTTTATTTATAAAATACCTTTTAATCTGACTTACAATCAAAACCCTCAATCAGTACTGTTCATAAGCCCCAGTGACGTTGTATTTTTAAAGTGACATGATAACATAATAGCTTTATCAAATCTGAGTTACCTCAACAGACTCCACTACCACAATTTGTGGTATCTCAAATAACGTATGTCAGTGTAACACACTTCATTGTGTATCTACTGACTCTGATTACCAAGGTGTAAGAACAGCCACAGCCTCGGTGGAGTTGGGTGTCTGGTAGTGCTGAGTGAGGAACAGCGTCTAACCAATCATGTAGCTTATATCTGTCAAAAAGAGAATGTTTAAGTTCAGAAGGAAACTTGACTTGTATCGGGCTCAAATTGCATAAACGAACCAAGTTAAAACATGGAAATGAACTGTTTCCACTTGGAGAAAACTGAACTCAGTTTACAAATTCAGACCCCAGATCTGTTGCATGTGGTTGTTTCTAATTTTTAGAGGAAGCCAACCACGTGCGGGGCTGTCTCGCGGCCCTTTGCTGCTTTCTCTCTCGCTCGCTCGCTGGGCCTGTGGCCCGTCCCCACCGGTCTGACGCGCGCCTCCACGTGAACGCTGTCTTCTCCACGATTCCCTCTGCCCCGCAGGCTCTCCTGGCACCACGTGGGTGCCCACCCCCCCCTGCACACTGCCCCCATGGCCAGCTGTCGACCATCTTTGGTGGAAACATCCCCATGTATTGAGAGGGCACTTTTTTTTTAAGATTTTATTTTATTTATTTTTTAGAGAGGGAAGGGAGGGAGAAAGAGAGAGAGAGAAACATCAATGTGTGGTTGCTGGGGGTCATGCCTGCAACCCAGGCATGTGCCCTGACTGGGAATCGAACCTGTGATGCTTTGGTTTGCAGCCCGCACTCAATCCACTGAGCTACGCCAGCCAGGGCGAGAGGGCACTTGTAAGTCTGTGGAGCCCCTTGGAGCGATTGTTTTCCTCCTTCCGGCAGGCGTCCTGTGTGTCGCTCACTCTGTGAGCTCTTAGCCTCATGTCACCCGGGTGCCTGGCCCGCTCGCAGGCTGTGGGCCCACCGCTCGTTGTGCTGATTAGTTACAGAAATGTGAACCAGAAAGACACTAGACTACAAAGTATGCTGTAGGTCATCATCTTTGCTTCCAGAGGTCGTGCATCCCTCCTAGGATAAACAAATTGCTGATAAAAACTGTGTAATCTGTCTTTGATTCAGCAAGTGTTTCAGAAAGCCCCGAGCCACCGGGGCTCGGCCTGAGTATCGGTGCTCGCTGTGCGGCTCCGCGGAGAACGCTCCTCTTTTGGAGACTCCGCCGGTGGCTCCCCGAAATGCAGCACCCCTGCCAGTGCGGCGACCCCGTCTGCGGGAGTCGTCTTAGGGTCCCGCTCGAGGTCTTCTTCGAAGACATGGTTTAGTCCCGAGCCACCACTACTGTTGGCTGCGAGTGGGGAGTATTCGAGTTCCCATGAGTTGCAACCCAAGTTAATGGAGTGTTCCTCGCTTGTTTTTTAAGTACAATATATAATACTGTGTGGAATCCCAAGATAAATATTAAAAGAAACCCTTCATGAAAAATGCAGAAATGTGAAGTCTTCTAAATGTCCATTCACTGTCCTTTTTATTTGACCTTAGTGGGCCTGCAGATTATTCTGTCTGTGGACAAACCATCCTGAAGGGGTTGGGGTGTAGGAGATGGGTCTTCAAGTCCTTCCTCCGGGTAACGGTGCATTTGGTGTCTCTTTTCTCCCCTCTGTTGGGCGTGTGACACAGCGAAGAGATGTCGAACTAACCCCAGCTGGGTAGTTTGGTGGGTGAGAGTGCGGCCCATCTCTGATCGGGGCCCACAGAGGACAGCACCGTCTGTCTGTCTGTCTGTCTCCCTCTCTCAGATCATTAAAAAAGAGAGAGGGAGTGAGCTGTGGACCTACGCTGGCTCAGCATTCAGTGCTTAGTGTCTATGAAAGCAGTTCACCAGCCCCGCACAGGAGACTTGTCTCACCTGAGTTTCGGCGTTCTGGCTGGTTGCTGCCGAAACAGCTCAGAAAAGTCTTCAGTTTTCCATGTGTGCTTTTTTCTGTAGAATTTATTCTCCAGCATAACATCTTTCTGGATTCTTTAATGCAACTTGAAATAGCACCAGCAAACCTCATTCTGCCCACGTTCGTTTCCTTTCATTCTCTCCCAAGCTTCTTTTTCTTTCTTCTCTGAGTTATTACATTTTATTTATACTGATTTTTCTCATTTACTTGTTTTGTGTTTTGTTGAGTTTTGATTATGTGTCATAAAAATTCCAAGTAAAAATCTAATTTTTTTATTTTTTGATTTGGGGGATCTAGGAATCTGATTGCAATTTTAAGTTACTCGATAATCAAGGTAATCAGAAATCCAAGCTACATTTATCTCACATTTCAAAAAAAGACACTCTTCTAAGGAACAAGGTAAAACATCTAATTTTTTTTAAATTTCAGAAGCAGTGCCTGATTATTTAATTGTAGAAATTATATATCCACAATTAAAAATTAGAATCCCTACATTGTATTTACATACAAATGTCTACTTTCAAACCTAGGGCTGTGTTTGTGCTTGATGGTTGTTGTTCTTCATTTTCTCGTGTTTTTCTATGGTGAATGTATATTTCTTTTTTTAAAGCATAAAAACTTAAAAAATTTAAATAGTATGCATATCCATGTAAAAGAAGATTCTCATCTCATACTATGTAAATGTAAATCCCAAATCTATTAAAAATATTAATGTAAAATAGTAAATATAAGACTTTTTAACGTCTTTGAATGAGAAAGACTTGTCCAAACATATCCTGTGTTGGAAAGATGTCCATATTATTTTTGAATGAAAGGGAAAAATGTGATTAGCATGGCATTTTTGTTCGCTGTAATACTTAAAAGTGTTCCTGTGCATGTGTGTGTATTTGTGTAACGATAGTAAAAAGTCTGGAAATAAATACCAAAACTGTTTGCAGTAAGAGAGAGGACTAGAGATGGAGGAGGCACCTTCCCGAAAGGAGTTACGTCCAGAAGTTACAGCGGTTACACCGTCATCTTGCCCTTGTTACTCTCACTGTCGGGCTTTGCTCTGTCGGGGCTTCACCGGCACTTCCGATCCAGTGAAAACTCCCAATGCACCTTCCCCTCCGCGCCCAGCACCCCTCACCCTCTTCACCTCTAACCTCTGCGTCTCAGAGCATTTTTATCTGTATCCCTCATACAACATTACATTACTCTCTCTCTCGTTTAGTTTCAAAATCCTATGGTTGTCCTTTTTCTTTGGAACTAACTGCTGTCCCAATCCCCCTCCTGCAGAAGCAAAGAAAAGCAACCACCTACCTCCACCTGTCCAGCTTCTGGTGTCTCTCTGTTTGTCTTGTTCCTGGCTCGCTCCCTTGTTCCCGCCACCAACACCCTAACCTAAGATTTTACCTTTCTTGTGTGAATCTTTTTTTATTTAATTTACTAGGGAAACATTGATTAATAAAATGAATAGATTTCAGGGTTCATTTCTGGAACACATCATCTGTGCACTGTATTGTGTGTTCACCAGCCCAAGTCCGGTCTCCTTCTGTCCCCAGTTACCCCCTTGCACTCTCTTCTGCCTCCCCACCCCGTTTCCTTCAGGTAACCGCCGCGCTGTTGTCTGTGAGCTTTTTTTTTTGCTTAATCCTTTTCATTCTTCATACACTGTCCACCAGTTTCATTCATTTTAAAACCTTGTTTTATATGCCTCATTGTTACTATCCCCCAAAACACCAGCATTTTAATGACCCCATATTTCACCCAATAAGAATCAGCCCTTTGGTGGAAATAACCTAAGCGGCATATTTATGCACTGGGAAAACAGGGGACCTATTCAAAACAAAATTTAGTTCTTTGTGTAAAATGGAAAAATCTCCAGGATACATCATTCATTAAGTAGAATCAAGATACATTAAGTAAGAACAACAAAGCATACAACAGTGTGTAGCGTGCTGCTGTGGGTGTGTGTACACAGCAGCCCCCCCAACCCACAGTTTCAGCCGCCCTTGGTTAGCTGTGGTCTGAAAATCCTAAGTGGAAAATTCCAGAAATCAATAGTTCATAAGTTTCAAATGGCATGTCATGGTCTGAGTGGCGTGATGAAATTTCGTGTCCCGCCCGTGCTGCCTGGGACGTGAATCCTCCCTGTGTTCAGTGTATTCACACCGTATACACTGCCCACCCGGTTGTCACTTAGTAGCCATCTCGGCAGTCAGGTCAACTGTCACGTTGTCTCAGGGCCTGTGTGCAAGTCACCCTCAATAATGGCCCTGAAGCACAAGGGTAGTGATGATGCCACTACTACAATTCAGATATGCTAATGCGAACCACTTTTTTCTCATTGCTTATAAGTTCTTTTTCTGTGCAGAATATAAAGAATAGTTTGAAAAGTATTAAAGATAGCTGCTTTAAGACAACAGTACTAAAATGAGCATTTAATCTCCAGGTTCCCGGGCTGTATAAATCCAGCTCTCTGGACAGTCTTTCTACAACCAAGATCAAACCTCTGGCACCCGCCAGAGCCAGTGGGCTGAGCAGGAAGCCAGCCAGCATCCAGAAGAGGAAGCACCACAATGCGGAGAACAGGCCTGGATTACAGATAAAAATCAACGAGCTCTGGAAGAACTTCGGATTTAAAAAGTGAGTTGTCTTGTTACTTACTTTAAAACAGGATACGTTACTCTTTTCTGTAATTTCAGTCCTTCTCCCAACTCTATTTTAATATGAACCCATTTCTTTTCCTCTCACCTAAGAGAAGTCTGTTTCCTCATTTCCTTTAGCTGCCTCTCTATAAGTATATTTAACTTCAGTGTCTGTACCTGTTTAGTGGACAGATAGATGCCCAACTAAAAAACCTCAGTTCTCAGCCTGGCGCCGGGGGTCTCTGATGTTAAGCAAATTGCTTGTCCTAGCCTGTGTGTCCCAGCTCTCTCCTTCTTACCTCTCAGCAATGTAATGAGGGTCAAGTTGTTCAAGATGCAGGGGCCGGGAAGGTAATGGTGCTTCCTGGGCGTAAAGCAGTTTGTTTCCCTAGGTTGTCACGTCTGAAATGGGGGGAGTCATTGTGTTTATATGAGGAATTGGCCAGACTTCTGGTGTGTGTGGCAGGCACTGTCTGAAATGATTTGACCCTGTGCATAGCTACATTTTTTGAACCACAATACTTCCTTCTGTTGGAGTACGAAATTAGTGAGAATAACACTGATTTGTAATTCACTTATTTTCTTGTCCTTAATAAGGCAAATGTGCTAAGATTAAAAGTAAAGAACAGAAAAATTACATAGGTGTGGTAGGATTAAACCTTAGCTAATAGAAATGTCACAATCAGATGAAATGGTGTGAGTGGAAACATTTTATAAGTAAGTTAATGCTGGACTACTTTTTTTTCTTATTTTACATTGTGTAAAGTCTGGGATTAAACCATACAGCCACGGCTCTCAAATTTTTTGCCTTCAGGAACCCTTTATACTCTTAAAAGTCACTGAAGGTCCCAAAATACACTGATCTCTGTGTTATATCTGTCAACATTTAACCATTTTAGAAGTTAAAATCGCCCTGGCCCGTCAGCTCTGGGATCCAGCATCGTCCCAATACACCCAAGTTGTGGGTTCGTTCACCCTCTGGTCAGGGCACACAGAAGCAGCAGCCAGTGACGGCGTAAATAAGTGGAACAACAAATCCATGTATGTCTCTCTCTCCTCCTCTTTCTTCCTCTCTCTCTAAAATCAATAAATGAAAATATTTTTAAAAAGAAATTAAAATGGACACTTTAAAAATATGTATTTATATTTAAATAACCATAAGTTCATTAAATATTAAAATCAATGGTATATTTTTTCCTAAAAATATACAGCTATTTTCCAAAACCAAAATGTTAGAAGAGTGACATTGTTTTTCCATTTTTGCAGATCTTTACTTATCTGGTTTAATAGAACTAAACTCGATCTTTATATCTGCTGCTACATTTGATCTGTTACAGTATGTTGTTTTGGTTAAAGTGTATGAAGAAAATCTGGCCCCGCATGTATTTGTAGTTTGAAACTGTATATTTTCATGGCTTTTTCATTGAATTGTAAATTTTCTATTTGATGTTACATCAAAATTCAACGAGCAGTAGCTTTTAAGTTGTTGCGCCGCAGACTATGAAACTCCGACACCGGACTTGGTGTGCGGCCCCGGCCCCTGGGTCTGCATGGGGTCTGTGTGCGTCTGTTACCCCCGCGTGATTTCACAGCATCGTGAATCGGCCACTTGGAAAGTGTTGTGCTTGTTTTTCAAATATTGACACATTTTAATATCCAGTATTGAAACACACACACACACAATCTTATCCTTCAAAGTCTTTGAGCACTTGGAAGGTGTCAGGTGGCAAATTCGAGCTTTCCAAAATTTGTATTTTCACTTGAAAGCTTAAATGTTAGCATTGGTAACAAATACTTCTGTTGCTTTCTTTGAAGTAAATTACAGGTTCTCTTTGTTCATTTTAGAGCAGCCCTCTGCCAAGTACCTACATCCGAATAGCAGTAGTGTTACAGGTGCTTTTACGTGAGACGATGACCGTATTTCGGTGTCCAGCACAGAAGTCAGTGTCCAACAAAGGGCATGAAGTGTGTTTCCCTTTCTGTCACAGGCCAGTAAAAGTTGAGGGGGTTGAGATTTAATGAACTTAATGATTTTTACTACTTTGTCAAGAATGTTCTTAAGTCAGACTGGCTTTTTTGTTTTTTTTAACCCTGAGTACGTGGAGGTGGAGACGGCAAATACCCTCTTCCAGCAAAACACACACAACCGGGGAGTAGAAGATCGGCCGAAACGGTCGTGTGTGCCTCTTGCACTGGTTCTTAGCAAGACTTGAGGGGAGTGCTAAGTAGAAAGAAACTAGTTTCTCCATGGGAATCATGCTGCCTTAGCTGGTCTGTAGTTGTGAGGGACTTAGCACCTGCTTTGAATGAAAGGTTGCTGAAAAGCAGGAAGGGACACTGTCTGGGAGGCAGGCTTCATTGGACGGACTCAGAACCTGGCTGTGCATGTGATGTGCTGAGACAAACCACACAATCAAGGGTCTCGTCCTCTTCACCTGCCGCTGTCCTGTCCAGTCGGGCCATTCTCTGAACAGTCACTGCCTAGCAGCACCAGATCCATTTTACTCTGTTATGTTTTGCAGGGATTCTGAAAAGCTTCCTTCATGTAAGAAGCCAGATCCTCTGTCTCCAGTCAAGGATAATATCCAGCTAACTCCGGAAACAGAAGAAGAAATATTTAACAAACCGGAGGGCACGCGCGTTCAGAGAGCAATATTCCAGTGAGCACGGGCAGCTGCGAGGCTACCGCCTACGAGAGACTGTCTGTCGACTTGAAGTCCTGCTCGAAAGCGAGGCAGCCACCAGTCTGAAAGATGTGCTCTTAGAGTCACACCGTTTTTGTAATAGAATACGTTTTGTACATGAACTACGTGTTTCTTTTTTGTTCAGCTTTTTATATTTTCATAAGAAGCTAATGAGAAAATACTTGATCTTTGACAATTTTTGGAAGTTTTAATATTAAATGGGCAAGTCCACTGGAATTTGTAAAAGTTTACTGTCTTTCTTTTTATTACTTGATTTCTGTTATATTGTCACACATAAGGGTGGTGAATGGAAAACCGCAGTCTGTAGTTATTTTCTCCTAGAGGAAATCACTGTACTTCTCCGGACGTTAAATTTTTCCACCTGCCTCACCTGTCTTTCAGGGTTGAATTGAAAATAAAGTTGCTGGGATGGGAGGGGCGCTGGAAGGCCGAGGGACCGCTGCCCAGATGGGACAGTGCTTTATCCTCCCCGAGGACTCTGGTTGGGTTACAGATGTGACGGTGGGTGGAAATTGCTTTTAGCACTTTGTAAAAGGAACTACCTATATCATTAATATTCTCAAACTTCAATATAGCCTATATTTTTTCAATGTCTTTTTCTTAAGTACAGGCTAGAAATTCCTTAACATGTTTAAAACTGGCATCTTAGGTGTGATGTAAGATAATAGAATTGCAACATCTATAATACATACATGCTACAGAGAAATAGACAGAAACCTGGACAGAGAAGCAGCTGTACAAGGGAAGGTCTGACATGAAGCAAAGAAGTTATCACAGGAGTGTCCGAGACATAGAAGGTAAAGGATGGGGACCCGGAGTGTTTCCATTTTCAAATGAGACTGAGTACAGGCTGAAGAGGTCAGAATGGAACAATAAACATAACATTGTAAGAAACGACATAAAACTTAAAAATAATAATAAAATAAAAACCAATCTGGAAGAAACAAAATCTAAAGAACAGAAGCAAGTCTCAGTTTTCCATCACTATTTCCTGCTGTAGAACAAAGTGAGAGTGTGAATCAAACATTGCCTACTAACGTTTATCTTCTCGCCCATTTAAAATGCCACGTAAATGACAGAAAAGGAGCAAAGCATACTACAGACTCACAAAGGTTCATAGCAGAAGAGACAGACGAGGAAACATATATGAGTGAAAAGGGATTTATGAGATCATTTCTCCGGGGGTAGGAGCCAACGAGAGGTTGAGATGGTTCAGTAAGTGGAGCTGTCAGGCAGGTTCCTATAAAGTGTGGGCTTGACGTAGGGCTGAAGGTGGAACTGGCTGAAAGCATTTAAAATCACTTGGAGAAGGGGAAACAGTGGCAACACCATGGTTTTTCAGTCCTCAAGTCCCCACAACTGGGTAGCAAATAAAAACCTACAAACATTACAACAAATTTACGCGATGTCCCAAAATACAACAGCCATGGAAACCACATAAAGATACTGGCATGTGTTCAGGGGTGGAGGAAAGGAGTCCTAGAGGGACGTCGAGTGGCCCGAGAAGAGAGCTGGAGAGCCGTTGGAACGCACAGCAGGCCAAGTTGGAAAGTGCCTTTCAAACAAAGGCTCTGCCCTGTCTGGGCTGCATGAGAGCGAGGAGGCTGCAGGGATGTCTGAAGGACGGAAGCAGTCTAGTCTGAGTGAGCTATTGCAGCTGGTTTGCCCCGGGTCCCTTCTAGGGCGGGGTCCCCCCAGAAGAGAAACTGAAGTTAAACCAACATTGAGCAGGACAGAGTGGGAGGAACAGTTGACCAGGACGGCTCGGCAGAAGACTGTTTTGAACAATTAAAAAAAAAAAACAAAAAACTTCTGGCCAAGATGGAGGCATAGATAGATACACTGTGCCTCCTTTGCACAACCAAAACGACAACAACAAATTTTACAACAAAAAACAACTGGAAACTGCCAGGAAACCGAACTGTATGGAAGTCTGATACCCAAGGAGTTAAAGAAGAAACATTCATCCAGACCGGTAGGAAGGGTGGAGATGGGCAGCCGGGCAGAGAGGACTAGTGGCAAGGCGGTGACTGGCAGAGCAGGTGGTCCCACATTCACACACAGGTAAACCAGGAGGAACAACTGGCGAGCAAGATAGACCACGCAACCCAGGGTTCCAGAGCGAGGAAATAAAGCCTCAAAGCCTCTGACTGAAAAAACCTGTGGGGGTTGCAGCAGCGGGAGAAATTCCCAGCCTCACAGGAGAGTTTGTTGGAGAGACCCACAGGGTTCTAGAATGTACACAAAAACACCCACCTGGGAATCAGCACCAGAAGGGTCCAATTTGCTTGCAGGTAGTGGGGGAAGTGACCGAGGGCCAGAGCAGAGCAAGTAGCACTGTTCCCTCTTGGATCCCTCCCCCACATACAGCAACCAATGAAGCCACGTGGGTTGCCTGACCAGGCTGATACCTAAAGGTTCTGCCCATTACTACGTAACAGGTGCGCCGAGAAAAAAAAAAAAAAGGCCCAAATGAAAAAATAGATCAAAGCTCCAGAAAAAATACAGTTAGGCCATGATGAGATAGCCAGCCTATCAGATGCATAGTTCAAAACACTGGTTGATAATCAGGATGCTCACAGAAATGGTTGAGTATGGTCACAAAATACAGGGAAAAGTGAAGGTTATGCAAAGTGAAATAAAGGAAAATGTACAGGGAACCAACGTGACAGGAAGGGAACTGGGACTCAAATCAGTGGTTTGGACCCGAAGCAAGAAATAAACATTCAACCAGAACAGAATGAAGAAAGAAGAATTCAGAAAAAATGAGGAGAGGTTTAGGAACCTCCGGGACAACTTGAAATGTTCCAACATCTGAATCATAGAGGTGCCAGAAGGAGAACAGGAAGAGCAAGAAATTGAAAACTTATTTGAACAAATAATGAAGGAGAACTTCCCCAATCTGGCAAAGGAAATAGACTTCCAGGAGGTCCAGGAAGCTCAGACAGTCCCAAAGAAGTTGGACCCAAGGAAGCACACACCAAGGCACATCATAATTACATTATCCACAATTAAAGATGAGAATCAAAAGCAGCAAGAGAAAACGAGTTACCTACAAAGGAGTTCCCACAAGACTGTCAGCTGATTTCTCAAAAGAAACCTTGCAGGCAACAAGGGGCTGGAAAGAAGTATTCCAAGTCATGAATGTCAAGGACCTACATCCAAGATCACTGTATCCAGCAAAGCTATCATTTAGAATGAAAGGGCAGATAAAGTGCTTCCCAAATAAAGTTAAATGAGTTAATCATCACCAAGCCCTTATTACATGCAATGTTAGAGGGACTTATCTAAGAAAAAGAAAATAAAAAACATGAACAGTAAAATGACAACAAACTCACAACTATCAACAACCGAACGTAAAAAATCAAAAACAAACTAAGCAAGCAACTAGAACAGGAGCAGAACCAGAGAAATGAAGATCACATGGAGGGTTATCAGCAGGGAGGGGGAGAGGGGAGAATGGGTGAAAAGGTACAGGGAATAAGAAGCATAAATGGTACGTACAAAATAGACAAGAGGGTAAGAATAGTATGGGAAATGGAGAAGCCAAAGAACTTATTTGTACAACCCATAGACATGGACTAAGGGGGGGTGGGTAAGGTGGGGGGGTATGGGGCAGAGAGGAATAAAGTAGGGGGAATGGGACAACTGTAATAGCATAATCAATAAAATGCATGAAAAAGAAAAAAGTTCTATAAACTCCTATGAACCATATTTCTCAAAGTTTAAGAAAACTAATTTTATTTCCAAAGAAACTGCAGTGAAGTCTAGATCAATCCATGGTATTGACACATGAACATCAAGGCATGCTTTTTGAAAACTGTTACGATGTGTACCTCAGAACAGACGAGGTGCAGCAACTAGCCACCGCAAATCTGTCCCTCATGCACAGAATACGGTGTCCCCATGTCCCAGAGACGGGAAGTTGCCTCTGGCCAGTGGGCACCAGCCAGGTCGGGTCATGTCGATGGACCCATTTTCAAGTCTACCAGTTTCTTCATTAACTCCGTCTCTGTTACCATGTTTTTGGGTTTTGTTTTTATTTCAAGCATTTCAATTCTAATCTCATTCCCATTCCTCTACTTACATCCCCCCATCTGCTCATGCATAATATTATCCCCCTTTCCCACGAGGACATATCCACCCTCGTTATTTTAAATTCCTCTTCTGAGATTTCCAGTATGTGGCTCACCTCTGAGTTTGGTCCTGTATCTTGTGTCTGTGACACTTTGCTTTTTCCTTGTTTTTGTGCGTCGTGTTGTTTTCTGATTGGGTGCTACCCACGCTGACGGAGAGCGGTGGTGACCGGAGGAAGTCATACCTCCGCCTGCAGCAGGCGTGCCTCCGCCAGCACCAGGTGGTTAGAGGGGGGCCTGTTAAACGCTGGTCCGGAGCTGAGCGCGCAGGGTTCGCTGCAGCTGCTGCGGCATCGCACGTGCACCTCCGACCTCAGATTCCGCCGGTGTGACCCTGCTGCTGGCCACGGGCTGTGGTGTCCCGGTCACGGTGGTGGTTCTTTTCGCTGTTGTTTTCTTCAATGTTCCTGCTCTAATCCTCCGTCTTCGGTCTTCCTCACGCAGCTGGGGCTCCAAAAGGGTCTCCACGCCCTTGACCCTCTCCAGCAGTAGTAGGCTGCTGTTGCTTGCAATTTGGTGCTTAATGGCCAGAAGCAGCCTTGAGGATGATGCTATTAGTAAATGCGTCAATTGTATTAAATTTTACAACCCACAACACAGTAAAAACATGTTCTTCCTGTTTCTCGACTCACGGCAACGCTGGCGACGCATTCAGCATTCCACGCTGTTCGCATTAGAGGGTTCCAGCTCCCAGGCTATCGGACCTCATAACGCGCACCTGAAGTCTTTCTAAACACGGTTTTTTGTGTGATGCTTGTTCACTCGTGGTTTAGGGGAGGCAGGAAAGTAATGGAAAGAACTGCAGTTACGCATCGGAAGACTTGACCTGCACGTAGTTCTGACTTACCTAAAACTCTAAGTGACTTTGGTCAACCACTGCAATTTTGTTGTGTGTGTGTGTTTTTTCTCACAAGACAGACATGAGGAGTTGACCTATAAGTGCAACCTCAGAAATTGCAACTTCCAAATTCTGTGAACCAAACACAGCCAACTCTTTGACTTGTAGCCACTGAAAGACTACTTCACAAGCTCCACAAGAGGGCAGCCCTTCCACATCACCTAATGTCTGAGGAGACATTC